CCATTAATAAATCAGCTCGAGAAGGTGTGCGGGTCATTATTATTTGTATTATATCTGCTGTGTTTTATGTTATCGACTATCATCCTGAATAATCATTTGTTCGCGCAGAGGGATTCCTGGTCAAACCTGACCTTAAGAAGGCCGGCGGCAGTAGAGCTAGTAATAAAGACACCTCGACGGTCACCGAGAAACCAAGGGGCCCTTCTTCGAGCAAAGAAGGTTCTTCCCGAAATGAGAAGTCTGCCACTGCGCCTCTCCCTCCTAAGCAACGAGCATCTTCTCCTTCAAGGCATAACGACCGTCAGGTCGAGCGCACTTCTAGCCGCTCGTCCAAAGAGACCGAGTACTCAAAGAAGCGTACGCGCCCTGAGGCAACCGGTCATAATGACGCGCCTCCCTCGCCAAAACGGACTCAGCTCGAAACACCTTCCACCGGAGGGCCCGTCGTCCAACCTGCTTCTTCCATGTCGTTGGTCTCTGCAGGACCCCAGGAAGTCGTTTCGCGCTTGATGGGGTTCCTACCGTTCGTCGACACCCACCGGTGGGGTGTGAATCGCCGGTCTCAAGCCGAATATGCCGCCCGTGCCGTGGTACAGGTATATTTCTCTCCCTCCTGTGTCCTACATTTTTTACCTTCATACCTTACCTTACCACCTGCTCGACCACAGGCCCTATCTTCCGTCGTACCTCTTCTCGAGGAGACGTTGAACGGTTCTGGACGTCCAATCCCCGTGCTCGAAGGCGACAATCGGCGTCTAGAAGAAGCGAACAGGCGCCTAAAGGCTGAGAATGAGGACCTGTTGAAGACCCGCCATGAGCTGTCGGGACAGTTGAAAAAGGATGAGCAGCGATATAAAGATGAGCTGAAGGCTAAGGATAAGCTGCTCGAGGCTGAAAGGTCCAGCCGAAAGAAAGAGGTTGAAGCGGCTGCTATTGCAGCGATGGAGCAGTCCCGACGGGCTCTGTGGAGAACCCAACTTGGCCAAAGTTTCCTCAAGGCTTATCGGGAACAACTGATCGAGGATTACCTCCGCTCGACCGCCTTTCTTAAAGAGGCTGCTGCAATGGGGATGGACTTCTATACTTATAGTATGGAGGAGGTCGAGCGGCAGTTGAAGGAAATAGGGTTTACTGGAACAACGTGTTAGGTGATTATTATAATTGACTGGATCGTGTTCTCAACAAAATATTTGGCTCCATAAAGAAGTACAATGTTGAGAGAAAATGATCACGAATTTGAAAGTATTTTTGTTCTGACAAGTTAATATACATACTTAAAATTTTATATGGGATTTCTTGTGTTCACAAATTTGCATTAAAATAATATAGACCTTGTTTGGTAGTAGACAATTGTAGCAGATAGGTAATTAAATTAGGAATTGTGGCTAACTAATTGAATTACCTGATTCTGTATTGGTGAATAGAGATAGTTATTGATTGGTAAGTAAAAGCTACGGGTGAGCAAAACCGAGCTGATACTGAAAAATCGAACCGAACCGAGCTATTCGGTGCAATTTTTGAAGAATTCGGTTAACGGTGCAGTTTGGGTTATGAAAAACCGCAAGTATTTCGGTGCGGTTCTATTTTTTGAACCGAACCACACCGAGTATCATAAAGTGAGTAAGATATACACTTTAGTTTTACACTTTGTGAGTAAAAATTTGGACACAAAATCACATAAACATTTACATTTAAAATTTAAAAGTAACAATTTTCATTTCTATTCTTTCTTGCCCTAATTTTCCCTCTCAACATTAATTTGTGGTTATCCTTTTTCAAAGGTTCGGTGCGGTGCGATTCAATTATTCCTTCTATTGCGGTGTGATTCGGTGAAGAAATCTTTAATATTCAGTTTTCGGTTTTTTTCGATGCTGTCCGGTATATGACCGAATCGCACTGATGTTCACCCCTAGTAAAAGCAACATAGAGTACGATTCCCCTCTCCAACAAAAAATGTGGATTATTAGCTAATAGTAGATAACTGACAATCAATTATATTATGTGATAGCTAATAATTGATTTGACTAGTGAACTATATAAGCGTTTTATAATATGTTTCGGAATAACCTTAGGTCGCATTGTTTTTAATGAATCAAACTATTCAATAAACTCTTGACCAAATAGTTAATTAACACTTTTTAATGGGTCGATTCCATGTTTCCATTTCAATTGCTAATACAAAGACAGGGAACTACTACAGTCACGTTGACGGAATAGTTCCACCAATGTTAGTTACCGTAGATTATCCACACAAGATAATTATATGTGTATTCAATGGTAAAAAAAACACTGACGGTACCTTATGTAACGAGACTTTAGAATTTTCCATAAAAACAATTCACCAAAACAAAACCATGTGTGGCTATTTTAAATTTTTTTTTAATCTAAAATGCTAAATTCAAAATACAATGTACCAAACAATTTACCTTCAAACTAGGGCTGGCATTTTTTGACCGAAAACCGAAAACCGAACCGAACCGAACCGAACCGATGTGCTAAAAAATCGAACCGAACCGATTCTTGTTTATCGGTAACCGAATGTCGGTTACCGATAAGTTATCGGTTCGGTATCGGTTCCGAACCCATTAGGGTTCGGTAAAACCGATACCGAACCG